TCCTTTCTTTAATAATCTAATGAAACGTCAGAGCTTCCACGCTAAGCGCGGAGGAAGAGGAACTTGATTTAAACAAGGATTAAGAGTCGAGAATGGTACATCGAATCTTCTTCTTTCTTTAATAATCTAATGAAACGTCAGAGCTTCCGCGTTTCGCGCGGAGGAAGGGGAACTTGATTCAAACAAGGATTAAGAGTCGAGAACGGTCCAACGAATCGTCTTCTTTCTCTAATAATTTAGTGAAACGTCAAAGCTTCCGCGCTTTGCGGAAGGGGGAACCCCCCCCCCCCCTTCCCTGCACCCAACCCCCTAGGGAGCTCGCTTCGCACGTTTCGCGTGCTCACTACCGCCCCCCCCCCCCTAAAACGAAATTCTGGCTACGCGCTTGGGAGGGGGTGCAACTTCCCACACGCTTCTACCTCTTGGTTGCTTTGATCCATTGCCGAAAATATTTTGGCACCTATCATCCCCCCCCCCCCAACCACGGATACAAATCGACACCCTTGACTACAACTACAATACTTGTATTTCCTCGAAGTTTCCCTTTCCTATAATATCAGCTAAAGAAATCAGAGGTTTAAAATTGTCGGGGAAACTAAATTCAAACAAGGATTAAGGGTAAACAACTGTACGACGAATCGTCTTCCTTTCTTTATTATGTTGATGAAACGCCAAAAATTCCGCGCTGCGCGCGGGGAGGAAAACTTCATATAGAAGAGTCGCGAACGGTACAACGAATCGTCTGCTTTCTCTAATAATTTAAGGAAACATCAAAACTTCCGCGCTTTGCGTGGGAGGGGGGAACCGAATTCAGACAAGGATGAAGAGTCGAGCACGGTTTAACGAATCGTCTACTTTCTCTTATAATTTAATGAAATGTCAAAGCTTCCGCGCTTCGCGCTAAAGGGGGAAACTGGATTCAGAAATTAGGGTTTATTAAGAGTTGAAAACGATACAAAGAATCGTCTTTTTTCTCTAATAATTTAATGAACGTCAAAACTTCCGCGCTTTGCGCGGGAGGGGTTAACCGAATTCAGACAAGGATTAAGAGTTGAAAACGATACAAAGAATCGTCTTTTTTCTCTAATAATTTAATGAACGTCAAAGCTTCCGCATTTTGCGCGGGAGGGGGAAAACATAAGGAACGGTACAGCAAATCGTTTTCCTTTTTTATAATAATTTAATGAAACGCCAAAGCTTTCGCGCGGGAGGGGGAGGGAAAACTTAATTCAGACAAGGATTAACAGTCGAGAACGGTACAATAAATCGTTTTCTTTTCCTAATAATTTAAGGAAACGTCTAACCTTCCACACATCGCGCGGGAGGCCTATCACCCACACCCTCCTAATGAGCGCGCTTCGCGCGCTCTTTAAGTGATTCGCTTACTCACTACCGGCCCTCCCTAAAATAAGATCCTAGCTCCGCGCCTGCATTAAAATATATAGCTATGATGCTGACTAAGTTGACAAAATAATTCGTATAATTATGTCGTCGAGGAAAATGACTATTTGCGCATACGTAGATAGTCCGTAGGAAAAAACAATTTAGCGGGTATAAAGGGTTAGATTTGTAAATATTGGGACATTTAATTTTGTCGGTAATTGGGGTATAATTTTGTCGGTAATCGTTTGCCTCTACACCCCCCCCCCCCCCCCACTGAAAAAGGTCTAGCGACGCCCCTGGATACACTACTTTTAATACGGTTCAGTGGTAGAAATTATACAATTGTATGAAATATAAAATTAACAAATCAGACGAAGAATTTAAAAAAAAATAGTGGAGAATTCTTGGAGGACGACAATGAAAAAGTGGTAATATTTAAAAAGAATTGAATTCAAAACTGATATTAGTCTAGATTTGGCACAAATAACAATATATACATGCATCATAAATACATTCTAATTATAGAATGATCTACATCTCAATGATATTTTAATAGAATATTCGTTAGGCTTACCCATAATCAGGCGCGTACACAGGGTGGGGGGGGGGTTGGGGGGTTAACCCCCCCCCCCTTTTGTATTTTTCTGTGTGTAAACCCCCCATAACCCCTAAACCCCCCCCCCTTTGGATTTTTTTCCTATTAAAATATATATTCCCATGGCTGACCTAAAAAAGCTGACCTTACCCCCCCCCCCCCCCCCAACGGAGCAAAATGTCAAATTTTGAAATTTCGAGACCAAAACAAAAAAAAGTGTCTCACAGTTACGAGGCCATCGCTTTGTCACTGAACCATGACTGAACGCAGCAGGGGCTAGGGCAGGGGGCAGTTCCCACACATAAAAAACACGCAAAGAAAATGCAATAAATAAATTATCAATAATTCATTGAATTCCCCCCCCCCCGGGTCCCCAACAGAAACAAATCCTCTGTGTGCCCATGCCTTGAGCCATAATGCATGGCCGCACAGAGGATTTTTGGATTATGGAGGCCATTTTTCTTCTCTTTTTTTTCCTTTTCCATTTTTAGCAATGCATAATTATATTGGCCTCCAATGGCGGAAAAAGTATTTAAGTAATTGATCCACATCTATATGCCTACATTAGATTTTGTATGCGGGTTCTCAACACTACATTCACCATGTTATGATCACCTACTTATACCCTAATCATAGTAGAATTAAATTCGGTTTTCAACAATTATGCTAATGGAGGTGTTCATGTCATGGCTCATTGAATACTGAGATAATGTTGATGATATGTGTATGTCGTGCATGATTCAATGTAGGCCTACTTCTCGTCGTCATGGCGTTCATTTTGTTTCTCATCTCGTTTCTATTTGTTACCAATGGTGAGAAATAATCGTTTCATTTTGGCAGGTTTGCAGTTCAACCACGGTGAACTTGCTTTTTAGGGGTATTTTATGTCCTTTTTGTTTTCTTGGGGGGAGCTATGAGTAAAAATCAAATAATTTTGTTTGTGTACGATAGTGGATTAAGTGGAAAGGATTAAAACCCCAATACTTTGACGGTTATACAATATTTAGATTTGAACTATTTGCCTAAATATATGTGACAGAAACAATCTCCCCAACATAGTATTGATATTCAGAGTACATTGATGAGCATTAACCAAACTCCGTCCATCGCTAGGTCGTTTTTCCTAAGAGTGTATTTTCGGCTCGGTGTAAAAATGTCAGAGGTAAATATGTCAGCAATACAAATCATTCTTAGAAATACGATTGTTTTTCATTTCACGATTGATGAACAAAAATGAAATCAGTTGTACCATAAAACAAATAACTCCATCCAACCAAACACACTACTACCCCCCCCCCCCCACCACCACCACCACCACCACCACCATGCGACACACGACACACACACACACACACACACACACACACACGCGCGCGCGCGCATGCCCACCACGCGACCACACTTCCATAAAGATACCAAACATTGATCCTAGCGTAGCCTCCTCAGAATACCCAAAATTGGAGCGAAAGAATAAGGATAATAATAAAAAAAAATAATAATAATTTAAACGAGGCTAAAATAACCTAGTATTAAAAGTTATTTTTTATTTATTATCTATTCAGTTATTAAAAAAATATATTTAAAAAAATTATTTAAAAAAAAGGAATCGGTGTAGGGGGGGGGGGAATACTTAATAAATGATGATGATGATGACTCACATCATTTGTATGGCGCCATACCGGTATAGACAGGAGGCGCGATAGCTCAGTCCAGTCGGTAGAGCAGTGGTCTTGTAATCCGGTGACCCGGGTTCGAATCCAAGTCGATGCGCTAGTGCCCTTTGGTAAGGCATTAATCTGTTTTAAAAAAAACATTCAAAGGCGCGAGCTCCTCCAATAAAGCTAGCAATTAAATGTCTGAAAGAAGATGTGAGTTTTGATTGAAGCTTTGAAGTGGTCCAGCTTTTCAATTTCGCGAATAGATGATGGGAAGAATTCCGGACAGGCGAGGAGCAATTTAGAGGAAAATACCCGGTCTCATATCCCTTGAGATGGGCATCTGGAGAGTAAGGCCAGACGAGCGAAGTCCAGGGCGAAGATGACGCCTCTCGATTAATGTAAATTTGGTGTCTTACCCGAAGGCCCTTCTGCTTTCAAGGTTCGTTGGTTGATGCCCCCCCCCCTCCCCATGTTCTGTATAAGCTGTAGGCCTATGATTTTTGGTACCAGAGCAAACATAAAATGTATAAAGAGTGCTTTCTGACAATTAATCATGAAAAAGCAAATATCCATAGGCCTTCAAATTATAATAGAAACAAAAATAAATTGTCAAATTTCTTCAAACTTCATTATTTATTTGCGGAAGAAGGACTGTTATTGAACAGGGTATGTGAGTTAAATTCTCACCTCCCTGTTATTGAATAAGCAAATTGCTTAAAAATATGACAGCCCAAAACAATCTTATAAAAAAGATGAACATAATTATTTATTAACCAGAATGGATAAATAATTGAAAGCATATGTAAAATATAAAGATAATGATAATGATATTGATGAGGTTGATGATAATGACTTCGATGATTGTAATGAAAGAAATATACAGGGATGCATGATAAACTGATGCGACAAAGACAAAAAAGTCGACTCAGAAATTTTACTTTGAGATAGCTTATTCTGATGATAGCATCTTTTTTACTTTTACTTTAATTTAATAGAGGGAGCAACAGTGTTTTTATCAATTCTGGGAGAGATCGAGTTCCATAGATCTGAGGGGCGTTTCACAAAGAACTTTGTGAAACGCCCCCAGGATTGTAGTGTCTTATAAAAATTATTGATCTATAATTAGTAATTTCGAGTCGACTTTGAATAGATGAAATAATAGATGAAAGATGTTTCCAAGAGTATTATTGACAATCTGATCATATTGATTCCCGGTACAGCTAAATACTATGGCCGCACTTTTATTGATGAGAATCTGTCGAGAGGGCAAACTTCAAATACGTCTATAGTGCGCCCCCTGCCCTCCGTATACTGTACAACCCAACCCAGTCTCCTTTGTGTACGTAATACATGTAAACAACAGGCGTTCCATAGACAGTCTCAACTCTCAAAATGGAGGCTTGCATGAATGTTGAGAGAGAAGCTGACAAAGTTCTTGGCAAATTCCACGGCGTTTGGAATCATGCTGAAAGGACCTTTGATGAAATGATAGAAAACCTTGCATCTAGGCAAGAAGAGTTATCAAAGTGTAAGTAGAAAAGTATGTAAAGATCAAGAAAACGCCGTTACTGCATTTGATAAAATTAGCAGTCTGTGCAGTGGCTATGCAATGTACCGTACTGGCAGTGCATGCAGTGCAGTGGTGGTGATGGTGTAGACCGAATTTTCCGTCTCTTTCGTTCGTTAGCCTCTTATTGGGGTAGGGTCGGCTCTCTCTTTAGAGACGGAAACCGTCTATACACATTCCCTTGATAACGCCACGGCCATTTCAGGTCGTAGCGTTTTGCCCCCAAAATCCCCCAAAATGTCATTTTACCTCGTGCATTTTATATTGTAAATTAGGCCTAGAGGGTCTAGGCTATAATAAATCAGTTCCACTTACCAACTTGACTGAAATAATCAGTTTAATAGTCCCTTTTTAGGAATTTATGGGTCAAAATCGAAATCCATTTTGAAAATCTTTTTCAACATGGATTTCGATTTTGACCCATAAATTCCTAAAAAGGGACTATTAAACTGATTATTTCAGTCAAGTTGGTAAGTGGAACTGATTTATTATAGCCTAGGCCTAATTTACAATATAAAATGCACGAGGTAAAATGACATTTTGGGGGATTTTGGGGGCAAAACGCTACGACCTGAAATGGCCGTGGCGTTATCAAGGGAATGTGTATAGAGCCTAGACGGTTTCCGTCTCTAAAGAGAGAGCCGGCCGACCCTACCCCAATAAGAGGCTAACGAACGAAAGAGACGGAAAATTCGGTCTAGTGATGGTGGTGTTGTTGTTGTTCTAGTTTTAGATGTGTATCATTTAATTATGAATATTTACGCCAATAATAATATTGATATATAATAATGATATCTCAAGCCTTAATTGGTACCCATAAATGCAACATGCATACCCCACGTAAAACTGGAACTTCTTTAATTCTTAAGCTTACAATAGCACATGCGCAAATCGTTCATCCGATCTCGGCAAATACCAGCCTCATTTTATTGAATTGGCGCTTACAAGGGCCCTTCTTATTGGCTATCGCTGTTTTCCATTCACTCAATTCTACAAGGCATTTTTGCGACGAGCAAGCTTGCGATTTTCTGTTTTTTTCTTGTACCAAAATTATGATATTTCAGTCAAACCCTCTAGACTCTAGGACTAGGCCTAGGCCTAGACATCTAGGCCTAGATCGTATTTGTTATGATTTTTTCACTTAAGTATTTCACTTAAAGGGATAGTTGAGTTCTGTTGCAGAGGGCGCTACACAAAAAAAAAATTTTGTGAGATAATGAAAAACTGAGTGTCAAATTTGAAAGAACGTAATATTTAAATGACAACATCATCTTTGTTTGATCAAAATCGGTTCATCTACGGCTGAAATGTAACGATTTCTAATACTTGTCTACCACCACAAATATTAGATATTTTGAAAAATAAAAAAAAAAACCTTGGAAAAAACGAAATAACGCCTTTTACGTCCTATTTCAGCCAATGACGACGTTGGGTTTTTTGTTGGCATTTCCGTGCTGCTTATATTATTCACAACCAGCCGGCCCATGTATTGTTATTTTTAATTAAATCATAAATTAACGTTCACCGTGTTTTTTTTTAAGTGGAGCTGAATTGGTATGCTCGTATTGGCTAAATTTCACACATTTTGGGGTCTAAAATTACCTTCATAGCAATTTTAGGTTCTAAAAGGCCGGGCACTAGAAATTTCATAGATGAGAATAAGAGCAATAGCCTAACCATGCACTTTGAATGTATTTGCGCTCCGAAAACAGAACTCAACTATCCCTTTAAGTATTTCACTTAAGTTTAAATCTTACATAACTATTTTTGTAAGTTTACACAATTCTCATTTATCATATTTAAGGTACAAACTGGAAGTTTATTCTGAGATGTTCGTTGATTTTTCTATTCTATGCTATGTGTGCAATGCCGTGTGTGCGTGCGTCAGTTATGTGTGAAGTGCGTCACCTGTTTAAAGCAGAATGTGTCAAAATCTCTGTGGTGTGACATAATATATGTATTGAACTTAAGTTGCGCTTAATTTAAGTAGGCCCTCTCTCACTTAAACTCTAAGCCACTCGAGCGTATTGGCCAATGAGAGTGCGTAAACTCACTGTACAGCGCTCAATTTGCAAAGTTCTTTGTGTTATACCCCTGTGTGAAAACTGATGTAAAAAAAAACTAAATGCGTTCTTAAAGACTTAAATCTATTCTAAACAGTATGGCACTGGTCCGAAAATTAGGATCGTCAGCATAAACGAGGATATCCTCGTAAATGCGCACAAAATGCATCCTAAAAAATAAGAATCAGCCACATTTTCGTGGACGTTTTTTTTCTTCAGCGCTCTGCGGGTTTCGGGTTCTCGATCCGCGCGCTGGAGATGCGAATAATGGATTTGAGTAATATACCCCCAGTTTACCATCCACTTTTATGGGTTGTCCGTCTTCCCAAGGATTTATCGCTCATAAAAACGTTTTAAAAGTTTTTTGCGCTGTCAATTTGATACTAACTTGACAATAATTAATAGCAATTAGTATAGTATACGAAGACGTATGCATGTATGTAGTTCGCTGGATTTAGCGAACTCCCTGCCCGCACACCTTTTTACACTTCCTATTCCTGCACCCGATAAACCTTGCAACCTACTGGACTCTTCTTCCTATTCGTACAAAGCATTTTGAAATCGGTCAAGGATTTTACTTCGACCACGCATGGAGTTCACTGAATTAGCGAACTCCCTTCGCGTGCACCTTTTCACACATCTTTATAGATGGGAGGTCTTTCTATTCAGATGGTCACTAAAGCAGGTTTGACTGTATTTAATTATTAATTGTTATATTATGTTATTATTATATCTTGTTGTTTATTATTTTCTTGTATATTCTTCCATCCAGCCCCCTGTGATGATCAATTCAATTTGTTTCACAATCACCTGCTGTTGTCCAGTATAAAGCGAGTGAGAGAGATCACAACAAGACTCAGTAATGAACATAAAGATATTCACAGCAGTGTCTCCAAAGTAGGAAAGTCAATAGACAAAGTAAGTAGAAGCTAATATCTTTTCTGAAGATTGCCCTTTAGGTGCCAAAACATGGGTCGGTCGGTCCGAAATCTTTTTATTTTTTTTTTATTTTTTTTAAAACTCCTTCTTCGGGCTGATATTTCTCAGTCTTTAATTTAAAAAATTCTAAAAAATGGTAACATTTTTTTTTTAAGCCGACCGTCTATTTCAAAATTGTGGGGTCGGTCGCAAAGGGCAATACAACATCTTTTTTTATTAGGCCTAGTATAGAGGTTTAACCCTCGCACTCATATTCTATATATTTGTTGTTCTTTTTTCTTCTTCTTATGTTCATATTTTCATGAACATGTACATAATCTTTGCGTGCCAAGGAAAAGTGTGCTTACAAACTTTATCACATTTTTAAAGATTAGTAAGAAAGGGATAAAGATATATTGTAACAAACTCATAACCTTTCAATGAAAGTAAACATGTGATACTCTATATTTCTTTTAGTCAAAGAAAGAACCGAATTTGTAATCCCCTCTTCTTGGCACAACGCATGTTTAATATTCACCCATGCTTGTACAGACCTGTGTAGTACATTTTTTACATGTATACATGTACATGGGTACTTATTACGTTTTACTTGTAACTAATAATTGAAATATTGAAGATGATCATGAATTTCCATGTAGACAGGCATTTTAAAGCCCATCTGTACTAGTTTGGCTAGGAGGGATTAGACCACCCAGGAAGGTCACTGACAGGTGGCTATCTCATCAACTCAGCTCTCAATTCACAACACATAAAAAAGAGGATCATGGGGGACCAATGGTCACCGCTTAGGCATTGTTTGCTATATAGAGGGTGCAAGTAGCTATAAGTAGTACAGTGGGGCTTTAAGTTTGCTCCATGCCACATTGTCTTACAGAATTTTGTGAGTGAGCTGATAGACCTGAACCAAGACCCAACGTATGGCAATGAAGACCGCATGAAGCTCCTCAATACGGTCGTCTTTGAACACTTCTTGAGGCAGGGTATGCTGGACATTGCTGAAAATCTATCTCAGGTGAGTATATTAATAATGATAATAATAATATTGGATACCGGTATTTATATCGCGCACATATCCACCATGCATGGTGCTCAAGGCGCTCCAACATTACCCCGGCTCTGCTTGGCAGCCAATTTCGGCGCTCACAGCATTCAAGGAATAGATATGCACACCAAGACATTTGCCGTATCTTCAGTTATGGATTCATGTGTTCATGAGCAGAATGTATACAGTAGCAATAATAAGATAATGATAATTATAATTATAATAATATTGTTAAAGTCCACTCCAAATTGTATTAAGTTAAACCGAAAATGGAAATTCTTTTTGCCCAATTGATCGTGGGCAGCCACTGAGCAGCGCCAGATCGACATTGCTCTATCTCTTGTTGAACGCCAATCAAGGTAGCAGCAACTCCCGTCTTTTAATGTATGTTGGTATGACGCGGCCGGGGTTCGATCCCACGACCGAGGCGGACGCTCTACTGACTGAGCCAACACACCAGTATTGGTGCATTAGTAACATCTCTTTTTTGCTTTGAATGTATAGCTGTAGTTTTTTTACTGACTATATTGGAAGAGATGTACGTAATATCGTACCAAAACAAATGTTAAATAAATAATAGGGATTGCTTCTAATTATTTTTTTTATAGTGACAGAGTGGTTGTTATGTGGTTCAAGTGTGTGTGTCTCTGTGGGGGGGGGGGGGGGGGGTCAGGGGGCAAAAAATGTGATTAAGAACTTAATATTTATGAACTCTTGAAATTACTCACTAATAAATTCAGAATCGGTCACTTTACAATAAATGTGGTATTGATACTACAGGGCTGTAGATACTTGTACATGTCTATTTTTTTAAACTGATATCTTTTTGTCTATTAAAATACAGTGTCTACCTGTATTCTGAGGTTTAAGCAATGATTCCATGAACACAGAACCGATTTATAAGCGAAAAGAGGGCAAGGAGTGAATGTTATTATTTTTGTGTGTGTGTCGATGATTATTGGACGGGACTGTAGGTAATTTATAGGTTTATTTGCACTTTTTTGTTTTGTTTAATATGTAATTGTTTATCAGTCTATTTTATCACTCTAACGCTTAGAGACTTTGGTGGTAAGTGCTTTATTAGTAACGTTTTTATTATTATTATTATTATTATAATTTATGTTTTTGTGTGCATAGGAAGCTAATCTGGATGTTCCAGAGTCTGCAAAGGAGCCGTTTGTAGAAATCAACAGAATTCTTGCCGCACTGAAGGAGAGAAATCTTGAACCAGCATTACAGTAAGAAATCTTTTTCACTTGCATCTCGTCTTTTCGTAGCCAGAAGGGCGTTTGTAAACTTGTTTGTGTTTATAACGCCCTATTGGCTCTCAGCTGATGGTCGTATGAAAGAAGAAGGGGAGGTTACATTTGTGAAATGTATTGACCTTAAAGGGCAAGTCTGGATAATTTCTAGAAATTTATTTCATATAAATCAGCATATACACTAAATAAATCATGAAACAATATCTTCAAATTTCAAGAAGAAATTTGCATTGGTTGTTCAAAACAACTTGATGTTCTTGATTCTGGAAAGAAATATCAAATTTACCATATGATCTGGAAATGCACGATTTGAATTGGACCGAGGTGACATCAATATAGCTACGCTGCGATTCCAAGGCACTTTATGGGAAATAGATAGACAATGCAAAGGCCCAAGAAGTTTTGGACATTTTCAAATTTCCTGCTGCATTTCCACTTTGAAGTGGCATTGAGACGGTATCGAAGTGACATTGAAATTAAAACACATTACTTAAAACCAAGAAAGCATTGTTGGGTAGAAATGCCTGCATTTGGATAGATATCCTGTAGTCCCATATACATCTTTCTGTGTATAGTGCTTGTAACTTTACCAAGACTGGGCCAAATTTCTTATCATTTTGATGATTCCAGAACCTTGCAGTACACACCAATACTTATATGCTAGATGATCAACCTTTTCTGATCGATTCCACAACGTTTCTTTCACAATGCAATCGCATGACCATAACTGGTCTTTATCTTTAAGCTTTCATCTAACCAACCTACTTTGACTATCTTTTTGAAGATGGGCATTGAATCACAGAGACCAACTCCGAGCACAGAATAGCTCGCTGGAGTTCAAGTTACACCGGTTACGTTTCATAGAACTGGTACGGCTAGGTCCAGAGAAGCAATACGAAGCCCTCTTCTATGCACGCAACTTCTCCCAGTTTGCAGGAGCCCACGAAAAAGGTGAGAAGACAGAAAAAAATTAACAGTTTGACTTAAATTTCTTAGTGTAATGGCCATTTATAGCATACAAGATGCCATTCGTATGCCCCTATTGCTTCATTTAATTCAACAAAATCCTAAAAGAGGGATTTTATCCAGTTCTTCATGAATTGCACTCAAGAGATAACTTGTAAATTCAGGATGGAGGGGATTTTTGTTTTTGTGGGGGGGGGGGGGGGGGGAGGGGGAGATGTAGATGAAAATACCACACAAGTTAATGTATTTATATTTGAGGTGCATTTCAAGCATTTGCAAGCACAAAGATATATTTAATGAGACATTGCTATTCAAAGAAAATAATTTTTCTACAATTTGTTTTTCTATTTATTATTTTTTTTGTTTTTAATACACTCAAATAAAGGGACTCTAATTGAATTTTGTAGCCCTATTCATCTAGCCTCCTACATTTTTCATCTACAATTATTTCATGCATTCTGTGCATTGTCGAGATTTAATTTTTTAATGCCAGTTTTCAAATTTACATGTCTGTTTTGTATTGCTATTATTATTGTTGTATTTTCTTTGTATCCTTGAATGTGTGTATATTGTTTATGTTGCTTATATATCTATGTCACTCGCCAGTGTAGGACAAATTTCTGTATTTTTTAAATCAGGCAATGAATTATCTTGAATCTTGAATCTTTTGAACGACAGAACTGCAGGTCTTGATGGGTAGCTTTCTCTACATTCGGCAAGGCTTGGAAGTGTCACCCTATGCACGTCTCCTAGATCCCATCAACTGGTTGGACATCTGTGATGTCTTCACACAGGATGCTTGCGCTCTCCTAGGCTTGTCCATCGAAAGTCCCCTCACAGTCGGGTATGTCTGCAATCTTAATGTGTTTGCAAATTTATTTAAAGAGAAGGTTGAGTTCTGGGAAGAGGTGAAAAATAATTTGTGAGCGTTATCATTCTTGTTATGCAAGTGTGGAAGAACATCAGATAAGACATGTTCCCTGAAAAGCATGGCTCTTCAAATGCCTTCATATTCTAAATATATCAGGTAACATCGTAAAAATCCAGGGTAGGATTTTTACGCCACGTGTTCGTGTAGTCCCATATACATCTTTCTGTGTACAGTGTTTGTAACTTTACCAAGACCTGGCCAAATTTCTTATTATTTTGATGATTCCAGAACCTTGCAATACACACAAATTCTTATATGCTAGATGATCAACCTTTTCTTGTCGATTCCACACCGTTTCTTTCACAATGCAATCGCATTACCAGAACTCAACTTCATCTTTAAAGGGCAAGCCAACCCTTGTTATAAGCTGAAAGCAGAAAAATAACACTTGACCAGAAACAGAATGGCAAAATTTTAAAATTGAATCGGACCAATAATAAGGAAGTTATAAATGATTGAAATATGAGATCACTAAGTCTATGCGAATCTCAAATTGGTAGTTTGGTTAGTAGAGTGTGACGTAGGACGTGGATAACTCTCCCATTTGCAGTGTACACAAATATCACTAATTTCTGTTTTTCTCGTAACTTCCTTCTCCCTTGGAGCACTGCTCAAAATATATTATAGATAGCGTATTGCTGTAGGTCCTCTAAAAAGAAAAGACCCTCCTGAGTCTTGAATTTTGAAAAAATTCAATTTTAGTCATTTTACATGTTAGAAAACAGATGGGAAAGTAGTCCAGCACTACATCACATTGACATTACCGCTTCAGCCAATTTAAAGTGCCCATACATATAGTGATTACAACTTTTAAAAAATCATAACTGTCTTTAACATATTTAGTCAGGTTTAGTTGAGACTTTCATCAGTTCGCCTCTTTAATTTTTCTGCTTTTTTTTAGAGTAGTTGTCTATTTGTGTTGGATTTCTCTTTAAGCAAAAAGGAAAATATGATCTTGACCCATGTACATTGATTGACGAACTGTTTTTTGACTGAATGATGTTTAACAATTTTAATTTGTTTTGACCTGTACCAAAGATGAAGGGTAGGTGAACAAACTAACGTTAGACATCAGTAATGTAAACTAAAATCTATTTTATTTTCAGTTACAGTTGTTCAGACCTACATGTACCTTGTGTCATGTGATATATTAAGTGACAAATCTAAAACATAAATAGGATTTTTGAATGGAAAGTGAAATAAAGAAAATTAATTTGAGGACAGTACGTTTGTTAACACATCATTTTACTGCTATCTACTATGTTCTTTGTCTCCCCAAATGATCATTTTGATTTGATACCTATGCTCATACATGTATGTGTTCTAAAATCCTAAAAGTCTTGATCACATACTTGTGTTAACAAACTTGTGGGCGAGATGTGCAACTTTTCCTTGAGTAATGCTACTTTAAAAGTTTTATTACAGCTGTACAATACTTTCTGTTTCAATTGTCTTGAGATGCTAGGATTGCGCCTGTTCTTTTTAACCGCACATAGATTAGATCTTCCACAGCACTGTACATATACATGTATATCTGCACAACCTCAAAGTACGAAGATACGCCAACAACATGGTGGCCTGTACTTCAACAGAAGAAGAAGAAGTTTTCAATATGTTTTTTGATACATATGCCAAAAACGTATTTTGTATACATAGTCCTTATGGATGGGTGTGAATGTAAGCCTAATCAGCATGCTCATCAAGTGATTTCTGTTTGTTTGTTTCCATGGTTACTGCAGAGTCTCAGCAGGTGCCATTGCACTGCCAGCTCTTCAGAAGATCAAGCAGGTGATGCAACAAAGACAGTGTCATGTCATGTGGACGGCCAAAGATGAACTGCCTGTAAGTATCTCTCTCACTCTCTTTTTAGGAAAGTACATCAAAGACATTTATTATTATTATTATCTATATCAGGCTGACTAGCGAAATAACAAAATTTGACTCAATAATCAAGCAATATTGTATCGATAGTTGAAGTTCCCGGATGACAGAGCAATACGAAAACAATATTGATCTGTCATCCGGGTACTGCGCTAAAGATATTAAATACACTGATTATTCTGGTTTATTTACTAATGTAAAGCGCTTTGAGCATGTTTATGTAAAGGCACTATATAAATATCAATATGTATGTATGCATGATTAATTGTACCACTTGGAAGCCTTATTATATAGATAATAATAAGTAATAACTTTTAAAGTGATGTCATCAATTTTGATTTTTAGAGTTTAAGAATAATATCTCTGAGACATTGCATTTATTTTTCATGCCACCATGAAAGTTATTCACATCTGGGCCCCATTTTACAAAGAGTTACGATTGATCCACATCAATCACAAGTCCTCCAATCAATCGCAAGTTTGCAGATTCCTATCTCTTATGTACATAGTTGTGATTGATTGATTGATCTCAACTCTTTGTAAGACGGGGCCCAGCTCTTCTTCTTCTTCTTCAAGATAATCTGCCTCCTTCAATACTAAAGATTCTTGCAGGTGCTGTATACTCGGCCTGATTGGGGTGTGCAGGTGGACCACTACACCGGGGTTTCCCCCTACTCTTATATGAATAATGCAATGGGTTCTTAATGTGCAAGGGTGGTGACTCTCCTGTACACAGGGCCTCCATTTAACATCCTATCTGATGGACGGAGTGTTTTCCACTTAACATAGCCTGCATCTATGATCAAGGAAAGGGGCACGTTAACAAACAACGCAGGCTTCAGTCATCCGCCTGGGTGGGAGTCGAACCTGGGATCTTTGGTTCGACAGGCAGACGCTTTACCGACTGAGCCAACTCGCCTCCTCAATATCATGTTTTTTGTTTATCCCTTGTGATTTTGTTTTTCTTCCCCAGATTGAAGTTGAGCTGGAGCCCAGTCAGCGCTACCACTCTATCTTTGCATGCCCTATCCTGAGACAGCAGGCATCAGAAAACAACCCTCCGATGCGTCTGGCATGCGGGCACGCCATCTCAAGAGATTCCCTCAATAAACTCATCAATGGAAGCAAGTAAGTCATGGTTTAAAGGTATAGACCAGTTCTAGTCATGCGATTGCATTGTGAAAGAAACATTGTGGAATTGATCAGAAAAGGTTGATTATCTAGCATATAAGTATTGGTGTGTTTTGGAATCATCAAAATGATAAGAAATTTAGCCCAGTCTTGGTAAAGTTACAAGCACTGTACACAGAAAGATGTATATGGGACTACGGGATATCTATCCAGGCCAGATAGATAATTTACCAAATATATCAATTAGTAGGCGGTTTCCCGGCAAAATTTGTATCATCACATATTAGTCAAAACATATTCTTTCACATGATTGGTAATAAGAACTTCCACTTCATTTTTGAAGAGGGGGGCTTTTCCAAAACGGGTCTATACCTTTAAAGAGAAGTTTCAAATTTGGTAAAGGAGACAATTAATTGATTTTTTTCTTCTCTTTTTTAAAATTAGCCAGCTAAAAGAATGTCCTAGTACCAATGTCACATGGAAAGGATTGATTTTGTATGCCGTCATATTCTAAATGTGATTAGAAATAGCTTTAACTTGGGGCCGAATTATGCTGCCACATGTATGAAGTCTCATATGCCCATTTCTGTGTGCACTACTTATCAGTGATGATATTCAGCAAGATTTAATGTAGTATAGTTCTTATATTTATTAGAAATGTCACAATACACATTTATTCTGGAGAACAAAATCACCCTTTCTTATAGCTTCTAGACAGTGTCTTTCCCAATATACATGTTGTCACATAACCGGTAATTTATTGAAAAAGTTGAGGGTATGTCTTTTAAAAGCCTTGAATAATGACCTTAATATCAGTCTTTCTTCTTCAAATTATAAAAGAGCTAAATACCACAAGTACATGAACATGCATATAAAGATGGGGAACTTGGGTTCACGTTTAACCATTTCCTCTCTTTTCTCTTTTTTTCTCCTCTTCCCTTTCCAGGATAAAATGTCCTTACTGTCCCGTCGAGTCTTCACCGAACGATGCCAAACAGCTGCACTTGTAACCTCCACCTAAGGACAAGATGAAGACATTGCAAAGGCTTCTCTGCCTGTGCTCTGATATCAAACAATGCTTGCAGTTACATGTTCATGTTGAAGGAGAGAGATGTGTTGGAGACAGGTGCATGGAGTAGGGTCCACTAGGCTATGCATTGTTCCAATGGTCCGAATGTGACGCTGGTTTCAGAGAACCTTCTCATACACAGACAAAGGTCATTGTTACTATCTTTTCGAGCCCAAGGAAAGTGTTTTATTAGGGACTTGCAAAGTGTCATAAAGGGAGTGTGTTTTAAAAGTTGTCTTTATAACAAGGTTCCACTGTGCTTTACTTTTGGAATATACAGTCTTCAAACAGTAGCAAGAGCTTGGAAGATTTGGGAAAAAAGTTTGGAAAATGTTTAAGAATTCCGTACAAGGAGTGAGCCGTGAATCATCCACAAGGGTCATTAATATTTTCTTATAGTCCAGAGATATTGGGTACCTAGATAGGCCTGTACATGAAGGACTGGCTTACAGTAGCATCTCAACTCTTTCCATGCAACGCTGTAGCAGCAATTCTTACTTTAAATGAGACAGCATTGTTTTGAAAATCTTTGGTGCTATCATAAGCAAGCTCATGAATGCCTGGCCCCCTCAAGGTGACTCACAGCACAATCTTCACACATTTTAAACAGTACCTGTATACATAATTTTTTTTTATTCAGGGGGTCTTGAGAAAGACAAATGGCAAACCCCAAAATAGGGAATTTTGTCATTGTGAGGTCAAGGATGAGAACATGGTATGGCTTAGATCTCTGACAAGCAATGTTGGGTTGTTTATTTCGAGGATGGATCTTTTTTGCAGGCAAGAATCCTCTTGAAGTTGCAACCGAGGAAAAGTGTGAAATACATGTAAATAGGATTTTGATATTTATTGTAATCAGAAGCTATATAGAAAATAACAGGGAAGAAAAACATATGTTAAAGGTAGATGAGAGGTTTACATAGAGAAAGAGTTGATGTCAGATGAAGTGTTTCTTGATAGTGAAAAGTAAAAAGAGACATGTGTATACTCTTTCTTTTTTTGAAAGAGTATACACAAGGTAAGAAAATATGTATATTCACAGAGAATGTGGATGAATTATGATGTACATGTACATATATATGTATTTACAGGAAGATTTTGAGTTGTGGTAATGAAGAGAATTTATTTTTTCCCTGTATGATATAATGTGCTTAATTATATGAGAATAGACGGATATCGTGTATACTATGTAATCTAGATCCGAGCCCCTGTCTTGTAAAGCGTTGCGATTCATTTGATCCAGATTGATGGCAAGTCGTCCAGTCAATCGCTAACTCACAGACTGAGTTGCGATTGATATCAAGTTGTGATCGATTTGAAATAATCAATCATTAGTGCTTAGAAGACAAGGCTCTGGATGGCAGGATATCTAGGAGCCAGAAGGGCGTTAACTCAACACTTTTAAAAGCGTTGGCGCTCTTCTAGCTCTCAATCATTATCAAAATACCCATGCATGCGATTTGTTGGGGCCCGTTTCACAAAGCCTTTTTTCAATGACAAATGGCAAAAATCAGTGACAAATCTGCTGATAACCAATCAGAAGTAAGCATTTTAGTAGCTTATAACAAAAATGTCATTTGTCACTGATGACAAGTTTTGTGAAATGCCCCCAGGTATTGCCTTGTGCAAGAATGAGCCCAAATAAATAAATGATTGATTTTGATGTATGGAGAAGACATCCATCATTTTAAACCTAAATGGAAATCCAACCTTGATAGCAAGCTAATCTAGAGGGAAGCAGGGAAATCAGAGAAGTAGACTGGTGAAAGTTTGAATGAAATTGGGCAAAAAATGAGAAAGTTATGAATTTTTGTGAAGTCGCAATCACTTTGACTGAATCGATAAAGTCCCTGTGATGGAGTGGTGGAAACCTTCCCATTTTTCCAACACACAAAATGACTATAATTTTAATTTTCAAAAAAATGTACGACTCAGAAGGGTCCATTCTATTTAAAGGATGCTATCTGTAATATATTTTGCATAGTGCCCCAGGGAGGAGGCAATTGGGAGAAAAATAGGAATTAATCCACCAACTAAACTGCCAATTTGAGATTGGCATGGACTTGGTGAGCTCAAATTTCAAACATTCATAACTTTCTCATTATTGGTCCGATTTATCTCAAACTCTTCATTCTGTAAATCTTATCTATCTGCTTTCACACAAATGAACGTATTACAAGTGTGAGATTGCCCTTTAACAAGGATCAGAAGATGTTTAGTGCAATAGTAAAAGATATATATACCAGTGGCGGATCCAGGGGGAGAAAAAAATCATGTAAAATCACGTGATTTTTACCTTTTGGGGGGGTGCAAATTGAAATTTTTTTGAGGATCAAAAAAAAAAAATGTGCCACTACCCCCCCCCCCCCCCCCCCTCCCCCCCCCCCACTGAGCGAATTTTTGGCCGGCGCGTTTTTCAAATTTTCGGGAGCAAAAAAAAAAAAAAAAAAAATTGTGCTCTGTACCCCCCCCCCCCCCCCCCCCCCCCCCCCCCCCCCCCCCCCCCCCCCCCCCCCCCCCCCCCCCCCCCCCCCCCCCCCCACTGAGCGACTATTCGGCTGGCGCGATTTTCAAATTTTCGGGAGCAAAAAAAAAAAAAAGTTGGGCCCCCTCCCCTAAGAAATCCTGGATCCGCGCCTGATATATACCATACAGAAAGTTATGATCTCGATTTTTTTTTTTGTGGGGGGGGGGGGTACTTGTGAGTCTATTTATCTTCTGTATAAATTTACTGCAGCTATTGTGTATTGGGTACCTGGTAGGATTATTCCTTGAAATGCACTGTGCGCTGATAAGGCTGCATGTCGGAGCTAAAGCTAGGGTAATAAAGTCCAAAGCTCTTTGGAAGCGCATAGAGATGTTATTTCATAACGTATTATGCGCTATACAAGAACTGAACTATTATTATTATTATTTAAGAAAGTTAAATGTAGCAACTGTACGGACATGCAATTTAAGTACCGTACTTGATTTCTTTGTATACAGTAGGTCATTATTTTCCCCATTGGCGTCTGTTCTATTTTATTTTGCCACCAATAACAATAACAATTTGGAGTCTTGTAATGTGCTCATGTCTGGCACATTGCCACTCCTAGCGCTCTATTAGTATCACCCCGGCTTTAATAGCACGGCTGCCATTATAGCGCTAGAGCGTTATTAATTCCTGCCAGGTTCCCATTTACCTCACCTGGGCGGAGTGTAGCAAATACACCGTTAAATTTGGTTTAAATTGGGGGTGACATGTTTTTAAAGGAAAAACTCCACCATGAATAGCTTGTTGAACAGGGGGAGAGAAAAAAGGAGGGGGAACAAAACGGTTCAGTGAAAGTTTGAACTTAATTATTTAAGTTGTAATCGATCAAACACAAATTATTAATGCAATGATTTCTCTTTTGCATTGTAAATGTTAATTTCCTGACATGTTGATAGAAAAGGAATAGATCCATTTCATACAGGGGTTGTGTGAAAATATACATGCAATGATTATATCTAGGGTGTATGTATTGTATATTTTCTTTCAGGAAATTGCTCATTTATTTTGTTGTAATACAGAGCAAATGGGACAGTTGTCAACACATTGAGAGACTTTGGTGTTGGTAAATGTTTTAACAGGGTTCTATATGGAGACTGGTCTGCTGATGAGGATATACTGTATCTCCTTTAAAGTCCATTTAAACATTTCGATTATTTGTTATTCATTATCCAAGTTGACATGACGTGTGAAGTATGAACTAGATAAAGATATCTTTTTTTTTTGTAAATTTGTAGATTTTTTTGTACAGCTGAAATGAGATTAAATAATAAACATGTACTTATAATCGAAATAAAAATGATGTAATATTTATTCATTTCATTTTTTTGAAGAAATAAACTTACACTTAGTTCATACATGTAGAATCAATTTACAGAATTCAAATATTCCTCAACTCTACAAATACATGTACATACATTGACAGGCATTGTTTAAATATCTCTTTTTGAGAATCAACACTGTGAATGAGTTATACATGTATAAAACAAATATTGACTGTTTATTTTTCAGGTCGCGGTTATACCTATAGCTTCTCGGTTATCTCTAGACTGCACTTAGCCAGTCGGTTTTGATGATTATTATCTGCTTACAGACTATCCACTTCCAATTAGGAAACAACAATAAATCCCAAAGATGGCCAATACTGTACATGTTTTATACTCTGGAATAAGTTTTGTACTTATCTTTCCTCAGTATCAAAAGGCTGAATATCAATATTACAACAAAACAATTATGTAGTAAGGTGTATTAGATGCAAGTTTTGTTTGCACAACTTCATTTTCAAACTCACGAACATAAACTTTCGCAACTACTTCGCAAAAAAATAAGGAGCATGGCATAGAGTACTTAAAAAATTTGAATCTTAACTTGAAATAATACTATCAACTAAAATCTAGAAACTTTTCTTCAGCAATAAAATCTATCATCGCGAAAATGCGTAAAGCAATGTTTTTTTATCCTAGCAAACTCCAAAATGAGGCAAAAATAACAAAGTATACACAGCCTTTCATATAAATGGATCTACACCTAAAGGTAGGGGCCCCTCCTTGTGGGGAAAAATAAAGTTCATAGCGTCTCCAACTTTATTAATGGTAAATTGTAACTTCCAAGACTGGTGATGACTGAAATACACAAATATTATTTCCAGGGCAATTTCCCGATTAATTTGTTCCATACATCACATACCACATCTAAGATTTGAAGTACTCCATTTATCATACCAAATATGAAGTGAAACAACACATTTGACGTCAATTGATGTTCAAAACTCCACAGTCCTTGGTGACACAAGAGATATCAAATGACCTTGGACTTGCCTTTCATGAGCATGACAAATTTCAACAACTAAATGAAAAAAGGAGTGTGAAAAGTACTGCATTGTGTCACCTTCAACTATGAAGTCCTTCAAGTGATGGGCATCCAGGTACACTGTACATGTACAATGTCATGTAATTGAATAAAAAGAAGTCTTTTATGTATATATACAGGGATCCTAAAGAGTCTTACATGTACCTTATGGCTGATGATTGGTGTATCATATTTGGCAATTTCAATACTGGACAGATGAGAAAGGAACTAATAATAAAAGAGGAAATATGTAAGAACACATTGAATGAAAGATTATTAAAGTATTGGCAAGATGAGAAAATACTACACATACATATATTGCACGCCTAATTATCTATAATAGTAAATCAATACATCTGTGAGTTGCTGAATACATGTATTTTATACAGTGTGTCCAAGAAAAAAAGGAAAACAAAAACATTCTTTGTCATAGAATTTTTTTGCCATGAACGCAATCTGGTTTCGTTTTTTCTTCTTCTGGGACACACTATACAATGTTTATGCAAAAAACGACTTGCGCCGAAGTTGCTTATGTGATGTTTAAATAAAACAATTGGGATTTGGGTATTAAATCGGTGTTTGCAGGTCCAAATAACATCCCTTACAAAATCAATCAATGCACACATATCAAATATCAACTAACATGTGTGCGCGTGTCAGTGTGCGTGTGTGACTTTGCTTCTACAAAAAGCATATGCCATGCATTTCATTTAATACATTCATTTCATTCTCTCACTCCGCTAATCCAACATAATACGTAAGCATCACTTTGGCGCAAGTCGATTTTTGCACTCTCACAAAAGTCTGAACCAAGACATACATGTACAAAACTGAATTATGATCAGGAATATCACATAACTGATACATTGTATTTTGGCACTTCATAAGGATCACTTTCCCCTAAAAAAATGGTTGCTACACTTTTCTAGATTATGATAATTGACCATGGCCCCCTTCAATCCCCTTGAATATATTTTTATTCAGATGTAATCCATATTTTTCGTTACCCCAGCGCAAGATACAGTATTTCAGTCATGAAAATCAATGCATTACATACAGTATGAAAGAAAAGAAATTTGAAAATATTAAAAATCCTGTAAGATAAAAATGATGTGAAATGAATAAATGCATCACTGATCATTAAAGTTTGGCATTTCTAATGGGGCAAGAGCAGGAGGGGTTTGAGGAATGACTATCATTGCTGTTGAACTTGACTCGGACACTTTGTTATCAGAGGGTGCTAGTAAGCTGAAAGGAACGCTAAATCCGTTGCCAAAGTCTGTTGGAGGGCGGACAGACTGCTGAACTCTTCTCTGTTGGCTTTTCTGTGATTCAAGCTCCTGCTGGAGTTCTTTGACCTCATTCTTCAAGTGGTCGTTCTCGCGTTGACAGTGCTCCATCTGCTCCAGCAGGTTCACCACATGCTTCCTCATCTCCAGGGTCTTCATCGCAAGCTCCTCTAACAGCACTTTGTCATCCACCTCCCTCTTCCTCCACACTTGCTGCAGCTGCTGGTGAGGCGCTTGCGCTTCCCGGCCTGGCTTGGAGACATAACCAGTACCCAGATCCCTCAGGGCTTGGAGTACCATCGTGGGTCGGTAGTAGGTCCTCATCTCGTTCTTATCAAGCTCGTTGAACTCATTAAGACACTGCAGCAGAGAATCTGCGTCTTCCGAAGCCAATGACGGGAGAGACTCAAAGCTGTTCGTTCGTCCTCTTCCTTCCTCTTCAGTCGCCGCTGCAACTCCTGGAATCCTGGATGACACCGGCTCTATGCTCTTTAAGCAAACTTCATCGTCACTCTCCTGCCCTCCATCAACATCATCGTCTTTCTCCTCATTCACCCCATTTGCCTCTCCTGTAACTCCATTCTCCTGAGGCTGTGGTACTTCGAGTTGAAGGCTTTCTAGATTGATTTTCTTTGCATCAAGTTGTCTCCGCTTGTTGACAAGATTTGGCATCTTGTCGTAGTTTTCTTTCTGGAGTCTCAGGGAATGGAGGGCAACCGCATCTTTCGTTTTCTCCATGGCTTGCACAATATACTCTGTAAAAAGAAAAGAGAAAAAAAGAGTCCAATGTCATGCCTTGAAGAAATATAGATTTGATCTTTCAATGACCAAGATGACATAAAAATGAATCAACACTGAACAGAAATTAAAATCTAAGGTAAGTTCATGAACAAGATCACCACACACATTTTAATTCATGATACATGTACAGATCCATTGTAAATATGGGCAAATAATGGAGGATTGAAGCTAATTTCAATAAATATGCTACACGAAATAGGAAGAAGAAAATTTATCTATAGATGGTAGGGCTTAAATTCACAAAGGTGGTTTAATTGAATCCATCCCATGGTCTAAAACTCCAACATGGACTTAAATAAGCGTATACTGTATAACTGTAGGATGGTACGCATATTGTTGTTCATTGGACTCTAGAACAAGCTATTAAAGCTTATGGAGATTTAATCCTTGGATTGAGATAAATCTCGTTTGCGAATTTGGGCCTAAGGATTCTAAGGAGTCTACAAGAAGAAAAGAAAAAGAAAAAAGGAATCTTCACAAGGAAAAATGCCATCTAAAAGTTGAAAAAATGGCATTACCACCAAGTTTTAAATCATAGAATACATCTAATATTCTATACCTGATGCATTTTTGTAGCACTGTAGAGCTGCATCGTGAATTCCATTGTTCATCATTCTCTCTGCCTTTCGCTCACACTGATGAGCCTATGATAAAGACAATTTAAAAAGTGAATAATTGTCACTTAATCTATAAACAAAAAAGTGCATGGGAGAACAGAATTATGTTAAGAAAAGCTTTGTTAAAATTGACCACAATGCATGAAAAATAATGGGTAAATTTTACTTACACTGTACAATGTAGTCCAATGTAGAAATATAAACATTTGTCATACTTAAAGGGATAGTTGAGTTCTGTTTTCAGACCGCAAATGCCTCCAAAGTGCATGGTTATTGCTCTTATTCTTATCTATGACATTTATAGTGCCCTTTTAGTGGTAATCTTAGATCCCAAAATGTGAGAAATTTAGCCAATACGATCCCACCAATTCAGCTCAACTTTAAAAAAAACATGGTGACCGTTAATTAATTATTTAATTAAAAATAACAATACATGTACATGAGCCGGCTAATTGTAGGTAATATAAGCAACACGAAAATTTCAACAAAAAAGCCAACATCGGCATTGGCTGAAATATGACGTAAAAGGCATTATTTCGTTTTTTCAACGTTTTTTTTTTTTAATTTTTCAAAATATCTAATATTTGTGGTGGTACACAAGTATTAGAAATCGTTATATTTCAGCCGTCTCTGAACCGATTTTGATCAAACAAAGATGATTTTGACATTTAAATATTATGTTCTTTCAAATTTGACACTCAGTTTTTCATTATCTCACAAAAAAAATTAATTTGTGTAGCGCCTTCTGCAATAGAACTCAACTATCCCTTTAATAAGGGGAATAGCCCATCCATATGTTAATGCAGAATACTATATTTTCCAATTGCTTTGAAAACAAAAATCAGATTTAAATTGAGCAGAAAGTTATGAAGTTTTGAAGATCTCTGCACTAATTTTCTTTTAGTCTATATGGCAAATCTGCAAGTTCCTTTACAGGCAATCCTTCAATTATTTTTTGTATATTTTTTTTTTTTTCAAGTAGATCTAACACAAATTTTTGTAAGGGATCACCTGATCATTAGACCAAGTAATGTAATATTTTGATTTTTTTTGGATTTTTTTTTAGATAAAATGACTATTTTTGTCCAGTTTGAGAATCAATAGAGGGCATCTTTGTACATAAACTTTAAACGTGTTTCTGACTGGGTAAAAAAAAAATCCATCAGCAATGATCAGGTGCAAAATTAAATAAAGTTCACATATGTTCACAGCCTTTTTATATCTTTTTAATGTTTTTTGTTTTGTATATTCATTAATATATAAATATTGATCCTCTCCTCTTGCATTCGAGCACTTTCTACTGTAGTCTGTTCTACATAATGGGACTATCTTGACAATACTGCCTTGGTCTTTTAAGGTACCCTTGCCTTGATTCTATTCATAATTATTTGCATCTGCTCTTTTAATTTATTTCTGTTTTAATCAGATTGTAAAGCCAGGAATGATGTGTCCGGTGTCCCGGTGTCCGGATGCTTAGCAAAAGTTACAGATAAATTTTTGCAAAAATTAATCTGTAACTTTTGCCTAGGCCTATAGCACTAACGTTCATGAAATGTTGTTGTTTATAAGTAGGGAGGCCAATGCCCAAATCTAACTTTTTAATTACTAATTTGTTTATACTAAAACTAAGATTAAAAGAAAGCATTTACTTTCACTAAGAAAATCCACCCATCTGCCGACTCCATAGGTTCCATCAAATAGGAGATATCCAGCTGGTTTGTAGCCATTTCCTTCTACGCCTTTCCGTACGTAAGAGCCTTGAAACAATTATATTTCATGTCGCAAAGTTACGTTCATAATTAGACAGGCCCGAGGGACAAAGTTCATGATGAAGTTTAAAACTTCGCGCGAAAGTGCAATCACTCAACAGCGGCTAGCCTTGAATCGGTCGCACACGTACACACCTTCTTAGTTGATCCCTCCACCGACACAGGCAAGCCCCGATGCAGGCTGAAGTCCAGCCATCAATGTGCGAACGATTACATCTTCTACTACTACGAGCCGAAGACGATGGTTCAAAAAAGGAAAGAAATATATATAATTCATTGATATTTACCTTAGATGTGTATTCCAATAATTTGATTTCCTCATGAGTATTCCTTATTATCAACGATCGAGAAGTTACGAGGTCCAATTAAAATCCATCTTGCAGCGAACACAATCATAGCGCACATCCATGCATGCAACGTACGTGTACTAATATTTCTCTCTCTCTCTCTCTCTCTCTCCCTTTCGCTATACGTAACATACACACTCACTAACCATGTATCATACAACACACACCTTCAAATCATGGCTTTCATTTCAATTCTCAATTGGAGTATAGACTGCTCACGTAGACTTTTTTTTTTACTGAAATATCTTTTTTTAACACTTCTCATACATTACTGCACGACACTCGTATCTAGTGCTGTGAGAATAAGGTACTAGGGTCTATAAATAAGACTACGCTTTGGGCACGATCTGACCGGAGCTCAGATTATGTCGCAATACCCTTTATTTTTGGCGCGAACAATGACGTCACTGTTCACTGTTTGCCTTCTCATTTTGAGATGGATGTAGCTATAGGGCTCAAACCAACGCAAGATTGACAGAAACATCGTACTCTATCTACTTTCGAATGTTCAGTTTGTAAAAATCTGTATTTAAAAAGATATAATCTTTTTTCTTTATATTTTCTAGTTGTTAGAAGTGGCAATTGTGAACATCTGAAATGTTGATCTCTATCAAAAGTTCTTTACTCAAAACGGATCCCATATTTTTAGGGTCTACCTTCTGCCAATGAGAAGGTTTTTAGTGAGCAAACCTCTACGCCCTCTAGGATTTTCTTAGTCAGTGGTGCGAGTGCGTCAAGGTCGTCTGCAACCACAATTATTGGATTAAAAAACGTCAAAATCTGCAAGATTGTCAACAAATGGTGAAAGACTGTTACAGATCCGTGATTATAGGTATGTTGTGAAATGTATAATTGTATTTTCTTTTCATATTTTCTTCAATTTTTATTTTTACATCATTTTTTTCCCTTTGCTAATTTTTTGAAGTGGGCGACGAGCGCACAAATCGTAGGTGTAGAAGCCTTACGCCCGGGCATTGGCCTCCCTATTATAAGACTAAACCTCTTCAAAAAACTGTCCGGAAACACCATCTTGCCTTTAATTAAATCCAATCAAAGTTACTGAATAAATTGAACGTGAACATGAACGTAGAATTAAATCACATCAACAGAATCTTGTTCCCAAACTTCTTGTACTTAGCTGCGCATTTGGTCTTTTGCCCTTTGCCTACCTTCGCTTTGCATTTGCCCACCGAAGAGGTAAATCTGCTCGTCACATTACACAAATATTTACGTGTGGGACCGGCAGCTGGCAGGTTTCGCGATCCTCTCAATAAAAATAAACTGAAGTCAGAACGACATCACGACACCATTATTACTACAATAGTTTAAAATCGTGTGGCCACTTCGACTCATGTTATGTTTTATTTATTTTTGTCTTAATACTCACTCTATTGAGCGGGGAATCTGGATCCATCGGCATGGTTATTTTAGTCTTCGGATGCATGTTTCGATCATGATCATATCAGGGTTCCGAATTTCTTGTTATTGTTATTGTTTTTACAGTGCAGACGCGCATGCGCATACCACGTGTACAAGCTGCATACATGCACTCTCGATCTCAATGCTCATATTCTGCTCTCTTCATTCTCCGCAGTCATCTACTCCATCGAACATCGACTCTTCATCTCGACATCAGAAATATTATTCGTTCGTTAGAAGTTTCTTTAAAGTTTTTGTTTTACTGTTTATTGTAAATATACAAACTGTATTTACCGAGTTAATAAACAAGCACTAGTAAACAGACATGAATGGAAGTGTCCAAAAGGGAGGTAATTACAGGGGGCTAAACTTGACTAGCTCGATCTTGCTCCATTTTTACAAAAAATATAGGGCCTATTTAGTACCAAGTTATGCTGATTGAAAATTTGAATTGAAATTTAAAATTGTTGGTATTATATGACATGAATTAATTAATGAGCTTGTATCCCGGGCTCACATCTCTGAAGTAACAATGTTCGAATAGCTTTAGTAACTATCCCAGTGCTTAAACCACAAGAAAAAAAGACAATACACTATACACAATGACTATAATAGCGCGATTTTAAGTAAATTACGAAATATAAACATGACATTTTTGGCCTGCGACTCAGCCGAACATTGGACAGTTTCGCATTTTTCAAACATCCTCTTTTTTTGACATTTCTGATCCTCAGTGGTATATGATTATGATAACGTGCCCCCTCCCAATACGTGTATACAGGGGCGGCTACAAGACCTTGATGCAATGGTGGAGTGGTCTCAGAAATGGGGCATGAAATTCAACCCCAAAAGTGTGAATCAATGCGTGTCACTAGGAAGAAGAAACCTGGTAAATCCATAACCTCCTTGGTGTCACCCTGGAAGAATGTAAGCAGACAAAGTACCTTGGTGTTGTGATCCAGAACGACCTCCGATGGAATGGCCAAACTCACCTCGCAGCGGCAACAACGAAAGCAATAGGGGTATTCAGTTTTCTGAGACGCAACTTTCATCACTGCTCAACTTCCATAAAGGAGAAACTCTACCTCACCCTCGTTAGGTCACACTTAGATTACGCAGTTGCTGCTTGGGACCCATACACAGCTAAAAACATTTCTTCTATCGACCGAGTCCAGAGGCAGGCAGTCCGTTTTGTCACAAGCACTTATCAGAGAGAAGCAAGCGTCACCCACCTTCTAAATGCTCTTAAGTGGAACTCTCCAAGACAGACGCGAAGCTCACCGTCTAATCTGTTTTCACAAAATGTTACATGGCTAGCTGGACATAGATGCCCCCCCCCCCCTCCCCACACAAAAAAATGTCTGACAAGCGCAACGGTGTTTCCAATTGAGTCGTATTTTTGTAAAGTACAATTGGGGTACCTAGTACTTGTAATGGAAACGAGATCCACGAGACATGAATGTTAATTATGCAGTTAGTGAAGAAGCCTGATTCAGAGCATGGTTTGGGGAAGGGGGTTACAATTTCGAAGAAAAGAAATATGCTTAACCCCCCCCCCCCCCCTCTCACCACACACACGCACACACAACATACAAAAGAAAAATAATGTCATTATTTCAGATTGCATTTGGGGTCTCAGAAAGTGTTTGATTGGTTTTTGAAGGGGGAACAAAAGTCGATTGTTCCAATTGTTCCCCTCCCATATTATATCCACCAGTAAATTTGATTCTGAAATGGGGAAATTTGTTTGTTTGTTTTATTTCCGAAAATTATCATTAAAAAAAATAACACAATATAACAAAATCAAAGACTTATATAACACTAATAGAATGATAAAACGGTTGGATAGTCCATTTCAAAGCCATTAACCTGATGGCTCTGTTCTTCCATGGAGTCCATAAAGTACTGATAAAGTACCTCACTACAACAAACAAAATGGGTGTAGACAAAACGACATTGGACTACATGTAGTTGAATAGTAGAGTAAAAGCAATCTGAAAACTGCTGGACTTATATTAGAGTAAATTACATTGACCGAAATGTTTAGCACCAAATCCATGTCGGCCCGGGTAATTTAACAAATTCCCTGAAGATTCTCTACATTTTACACGATAAGTTGTCTGGAATCAGGATGGTATTCGTCAAGGCATATACCCCTTACTTCAGAAAAATATTATGGAATTAAAAAAAATCCCTATGATATTGACGGCAACTCAGGAGATAGGCACCCCATCATTGTCCCAAATCTCGCCATTTTTCCACGTCGCCCCCTAAAAAGCTCGTTAAAGAGGTGACGAAAACAATTACAAGGTGTCGTTGGAATTTGCCCCTCCGACGGAGCCATGCGGACACGATCTGGTTGATTAAATCTCTTTGAGCATGTTACGAGTGAAATTTAAGGTGAATAGATTTCCGTCTTTATGCCTGATATATCACCAAACGATGTTTTCGATAACACTAAATGCAATTCTTTACACTGAATAAGACATACAACGTGCGAAAAAGGATATTGAAAAGCGGACATTAATTTTACGCCACATTAATCCGATAATCCCACTTCCTCAATGATTATATCTCGTTATTACAGCGTTGGTTAAAAACAAAAATAACCTCAAGTTTCTTAAAGATTACACGTGATAGACAATCCTAATTATAGGATGCCGTTCTCTTTGATTTAAGCATTTATATAGGTGGATTATGTTTAGAGATAGTCGAAGAATAAAATATTCCCCTTCATCTCGTAAGATTTATCAAAGCCAAATTATTTAGATAAAAAGAATCTGTTTTCCGAGGAGGGGAGGGGGGGGGGTGCTTTTCATCTCCAAACATGGCATTTACAAAATAACAAACGAGTTTGTGGGGGGGGGATTCACGCGAACCCTCAGAAGCCCTACATCTATGACCCTGAATTCTCTGTACATCATATTTCGTTTTTTGCTAATTCATTTCAATTTTGCTATGTTCATTGTTTTTTATTACGAAGAAATGTTCCCGATGCATTTTCTTAAAGTGTCTGATACGATGTAAGATTTTTTTTTTTTAGTCGAAAACTAATTCAATCAAATCAATAATGATAATGATCATTTCAAGGTGTACTTAAAATGTTCTGTAGAATCTGATTTTATGTGCTATTTTCCATTTTTTAGGTGGCTGAGCACGAATTCACCTGTTGCCATTTTTTTTGTAAATGACGTCTTTGGTATTTGACATGGTAACGAATCTTTTTCTTTAAAATGACAAATATTTTTCATCAAACTACCAGAAATATAATGTAAGAGGCTATTCCCAGCTACCCGTTTTATTAAAGTCAAATGAAATTCATACATCGGCGATGGTATTCAGAAGTATAGAAATACGTCATAATGAGTACTTGTAAGGGCACTCGATCATCAGGTAGTGAGATATTTGTTTGTGTTAAGGAATAGTATCGTCATTATCCTTTAAACAATACAACATATTGACGTGTAATCTTGTTTTTCTTTCTCTTTCTTGTTATTGTTGTTACGGTTGTTGTTTTTCTTCTTCTTCTTCTGCTTATGGCACTCGTCAGCTGGTAAGATGATTGTTTGTGTTATGGAATGATATCGTCATGGTACTTTAAACGATACGACATAATTATTGACGTGTAATCTTGTTTTGCTTTCTCTTTCTTGTTATTGTTGTTACGGTTATTTGTTTTTTTTTCTTCTTCTTCTGCTTATGGCACTCGTCAGCTGGTAAGATGATTGTTTGTGTTTTGGAATGCTATCGTCATGGTACTTTAAACGATACGACATAATTATTGACGTGTAATCGTGTTTTTCTTTCTCTTTCTTGTCATTGTCGTTGTTGTTATTGTTCTTTTTCTCCTTCTTCTTTTACTTTTTATTATCCCTATTATTTTTCTTCTATCTATTCTTCTTCTTATCCTTTTCCTCCTCACTCTTTTTTCTTTTTCGTCTTTTTCTTCTTTTTCATCATCTTCTTCTTCTCCTCTCCTTCCTCCTCCTATTTTTCTTCTTCTTCTTCGTCTTCTTCTTTCTCTTCTTCATTACAACTGAATTTCGAAGGTTTAGGCAACTCTTCTATCTATTAATGCATTTATCTATAGTCTAACATTTACACAGCTGAAACTTGAACAGCAAAAACTGTTTTTCATCACGGTCCAGAACGAAAAAATGTAAACATTGAAGAAAAAAACAGTTTGAATAAAAAATAATAAATGAATTTATTTCCAGATAATATGTCCTAATCTGTTTTTTTCGTCGTCCTTATTGTTGTTGTTATTTTGTTCTTAGGAGGTTGTTGCTGTAGTTATTGCTGATGCTGTTGTTTATTTTCTATACTTTAAAATGGTTCTTCTGATCGACTTCGGGGATTGAATGCTATAAATTCGTTTGACATGTCTGAGCGAATGGTTGTGTGTGTTGTGGGGGGGGGGGGGGGGTGGTAAACTTAGGGCAAACGATGATTTGATGCTTTTGGAGAGGGGTTACATGTATCTGTATAATTACCCCATCCTCTTGCTCTGTTAAAGCAAAACATGAAGAAGAAAAAATATCCAGGTTGAATTTGGTTTACTCACGCAGTTTGAATGAATATAATAAAAGCGGTTTGGTTTTCCCTTTTCATTAAAAATGTAGAAATATACCTGTCGATTTCTATGTTAAAAACGTTATTACAAAATAGACTTACCTTTTAAAGGTTGTTGTTGTGGTCAGGGGCGTCGCTAGATCTTTTTCAGTGGGGGGGTGTAGAGGCCAACGATTACCGACAAAACTAGCCACCAATTACCGACAAAATTAAATGTCCAATATCTACAAATTCAACCCTATAAACCTGGCGCCGAAGGCTAAATTGTTTTTCCTATGGACTATCTATAGTACTTGCATATGCGCAAAATGGTCATTTTCCTCGACGACATAAATATACGAATTATTTCTTCAATTTAGTCAGCATCATAGCTATCTATTTTAATGCAGGCGCGGAGCTAGGATCTTATTTTAGGGAGGGGCGGTAGTGAGCAAGAGAATCACTTAAAAAGCGCGCTCATTAGGGGGATGTGGGTGTGGCCTCCC